CAATCTATTGAGAAAGTCTTCTGGATCTGGATCACTTGAACTCGTCAAATTGAATGAGTTTGGGAACTAGACAACTACTGTCATCAAACTAACAAGATGAGGCCCCCCTACTGCGATCATTTTTGTTTATTGTTGAGTTAGAAGAGCTAACTCCTTCACTACAATCGTTTTTATGGCTTATTGAGTACAAACTATCAGCAACTCAGCTATATCTGAGCTTGTTGAGTCCAACCTTTTTGACACACTTTAGTCATAGACTCGAGTTGTGGTAGAACTTATCTTTCGAAATTAACTAATTAAAGCTTGCAAATCTCGAAGTTTTTTCAGTTGAAACTTCAAGATCATGGTTAACCAAAGAAAAAAATCATTGCCTTTTAAATTTTATCACATATATTTTCCTTGATAACAAAATTTTTAAATATTTGAGGAATTCAGCAATGAAGCATGATGTCAACCCAAAAGAAATGAGATCTCACTGTTAGGTATGATGTCAACCTTTCCTTTATAGTTCAGGATCTCTGCCATCAATTTTTTGTCAATCTCAAAAAGAGGAGCTCATTATCTTATTAAACACATTTGATGATCTCAGCATTAAGCGCGATGTCAGCCCAAATAAACTAAAAAATTAGTATTTTATAGAAGAATTTATGATTAATTAGAAACACATTCTTGTAATACAAAAGACTTTCTGGAATTTGGACGATTTGAAGGTCTGCTTGTTGGGCATACATAATAGCTTGTAAGGGAGAGAGAAGCAACTGAGGTTGACTTTTGCTAGCTTGAATTTAATGACCACTTCGAACAGGAATTGATGATATCCTTCATTCAGTTACTCTCGATTCATTGGAAAGTGAGGTATCCTGCTAAAATAATAATCCCTCCACCTGTGGGGGCATATGCAAGGATCATCTATTTGATATTGTCTTATTTATTCAATCAGCTAAAAGAACCTCAATAATTTGATCATTTGAGTTATCAGGTTGGATAAGCTTCAATAAAACAATTACTGTCATTAAATTGACAAAACAACGGCTTCTTCACTATGGCCATTTTTATGGCTTGTTAAGTCAAGAGAGATGTCAGCAACTTGGTCATATTTGGGCTTGTTAAGTTCTACCTTCAGAACCTGTTTGTGTCCTGGACTTGACAACAAATTTGCGCTTCTCCAATTTAATATGCTAAAGCTTACAAGCTCAAAATTCTCTCGACTTCCAGAATTATGATAAATTCGAGAGATAAATCTCCGACTTTTGACATTATATTGTTTATAATTTGCTTAAGGATAAATTTATTTTTGATCAAGTTGATTGAGTATAACTCGTGGCACCAATATGATAAAAAAATTTTAATTGGAGATCTAGCATACGACATGATGTCAACCCAAATAATAAAATATAAAATACATTTGGGGATCTCGATTTGAAGCTCAATGTCAACCCAAAAAAGAATAAAATCATATTTTGAGATCTCGATCCAATGCTAGATGCTGGTCCAAATAAAATAAGTGACTCCATGTCTTGATATTAAAGGAAAGTCTGACGCCAGGTGAATATATTTGAAAACTCCGGTCTAGAGCTAGATGTCAACTCAAAAAAATATATACAGTCCCTTTGTCATGATAGCAAAGAAGAATTTGATGCCAGCTTTGAGCTTGATACAAAGCTTGAGCTAGTTTCTTTGATTTTATGCTTCATACTTCATCAAACTTGTTTAAGAAGAGAGGAGTTTCTTCAGTCAGTGTATAATATTTGTTCAGACCTTAATAAGTTGGATAGATTTATGATTTTGTTATCATTAGACTGACAAACGGGGTTCTTCACTACAGACTTGGCTTGTTAAGTGAAGAGAAAATCCAGCAATTCGGCCACATCTCAGCTTGTTGATTCTAACCTTTGTTTGAGTTCTAGACTTGAGCAGCAAATAATTTTATTTGTACTCATCATCAGACCGACAAATGGGGCTCTTCGCTGCAGCCTTAGCATGTTCCGTGAAGAAAAAACCAGCAAATCGGCCACAACTTGGCTTGATTATTCCGGCCTCCGTCTGAGTCATAAACTTAAGAAGAAGATAATTTATGCTTCTTCAACTTAACTAACAGAAGAAGCTTACAAATTTTGACAAATTTCCTTACTTGATGTTGAAATCTTAATGAGTTTTGAAGGCGAACCTCTGACCTTTAGACTCTTCGTATACATCTTGTTTGAAACTTGTTCTTTTTAGATTGTCAAATTTAACACAATTTTATCATTAACAGCATGAACATCCTAGCAGGGACCCTTGATATAAAATGTCACCCGAGTTATTTAAGGAACTTGATCCTGAGCATGATATCAACCCAAATGGAGGAAGATATTGGTATTAGGCATAATGTCGACCCTTATGGCTAAGGGACCTTGACAACTCTTCTGGCTAAATGGATCTCGGCCTTGAACTTGTTATTTACTCAAAAAAGATGGGCTCCTGTCTGATAAAGAAGGGAGTTCAGTTTTAACAAAGGTATTATTCACTCAATAGTCTGATTTTTTAGCATGATGTTAATTTGAATGCGTAAGAATCTTCATATATTTGTCCTTCATCCAACAAAAAAGAATGACTTGAGTTTTCAATGCATCTAGGGATCTCAGCCTAGAATGCAACCTAGATGATAAGCATTTGACTTGGAGCTTTGTGCCACCCTAAATGATTGTCCCCCTTATTTGGCAAATTTACAGAAAGAGGAGAGCTAGTTTACAAGAAGAGGACCACTTATAATAGATAATAAGTTGTTTGATATATTGTTACTTTCTTGTACTATTTATTTCAAATTAATGGTATACTGTTGTTGGTTGGAATGCGATAATATTTTACATTCAAACTATGTTACTTTGTATAGATTTAATTTTTGATTAGTGTACGTTGTGGTTTTTAGTGGTTATTTTTATTATTTAAATGTATGATGATTTATTGTATAATTTAAAAGAAAGGTTAATATTGTATGATCACTGTTCATAACTTGGTTAATTCTAAGATATCAAATCGGGTCATGACAAAATATGGCAACAAAAATCCTCAGCAGTGAAGCTAGTTACTTGAAATCAATAAGACAGGAAAGGATAGACAATTTCAAAGTCAAGATTTTCAAGGTCGGCACGAATGTTGCAAGTTTCTTTGATCATAAATTTTATATCAAGAATAATTAGCCAATCATTTAATAGTACCATAATTTATTCATTATACACCCATTAGTTAACTTTCTTACATAAAACAAAACAGCTTCTGCTGATTTACTTCAATATTTATATATATTTTTGAACAACCAGTGAGTAGCGAGCAAATAAGCAGAGCATGACTCCAAAATGGAGAAGTGGTGGAAAGTTGAAGAACAAATGCATTGATTGCGTAATTAAAGGATCTTGTAACAAGCTAATTCTTGGTCATTGTACATTAAATAATTGTCATAAATATTTTGATGACTTGTTATTAACTTATTCATTAAACAAAGTATAATAAACTAAACAGTCACATTAGTAATTAATTAACAACTTGTTAATTAATAATGGAACCTATTAATCACAAGCATAATCCAAACTAATAGTTTGATCACCAACAAATCAAAAATTAGTTAATCAAGCATCTAATTGAAAGAAAATGAGTTAATGATCAAGCCAGTATTTAGTAAAAATGCTCAGAAGCCTAATAAATAGAGCAACAACTTTAATGGTTGTTCGGGCAATCAACCAATATCATGAAACCATTAGTTATGCAATTAATGGCATGACTCTTTGACAATAAACGACCATAAAATCAGTTATCTAGAGCATACACATCGTATATGAACATTTAATTAAAACAAACACCATTTGTCCCAAAAAAAGATTAATGATACACCTCAGATTACAACTGTTGTCTGTCGAATGAATAAAGTTCTACTTCCTAATTTAACATATTTTCTAGCTTAGGGATTTACTTAAACGTGAATACCAATCCCACTTGCAACCAATGGCGACTTGATTCTGGAGGAGGTTGGTTATGGATCAGATCTTGAATCGTACAGAAGAGGAATAATTTATGTAGTTGTCTCTTTTTATTATTTTAAGTAGTCCTGCATAGTGCTCTATCACATTTTGAAAAGCTCGCCAACCCGGCAAAAAAGTATGGAAGCGATAAAGGTTCTACATCAAAAAGTATCGTAATTTTAAGTTCATTATGTGAAAGGTTATAAAAGTGATTCAAAATCTATGAGGCAATGTCATAGGAAAACACCGGAAATTAGAGTTGAAACTAACCTGAAATGATGAAATAATAATTAACGAACCAAAAATAAAAATAGTCGCCTTCTTTGTTAGGAAAAAATATTACATCAGGACTCCTAACGTAGAGCTATGTTCGGAGTCCAGTGATATGCGGACACGTGGCTTCAAGGAAACGCGCGCGCTTTCCTGTGATCCGGCCCGACACAAGGGAATATTCCTTTTGTGTTATTCCATGTTATTCAGGTGTTATTGTGGTGGTATTGATGTGTTATTGGGTTATTATAACACCGAAAATATTCCCAAAGCACAATAACACATGAATATCACTACAATAATACTTGAATAATGTGGAATAACACGGGATGAATATTCTTTTGCGCTAAAACGATTTTTTTAAAAATTTTTTTTTCACTGAATATTCTTTTGCGCTAAAACGATTTTTTTAAAAAATTTTTTTTCACTCGTGTCCGCATATCAGTAGACTCCGAACGTAGCTCTACATTAAGAGTCCTGATGTAATATTTTTCCCTTTGCTAGGCTGCTTGCTTGGTCAGGAATTAATCAGGATAAAATGTAAAGCAATTCCTAAACCAACAATCCAACTATTCGGGGGCCAAATTATTACTTCACTAATTTATGAAATAAAATGTTTAATTCCCCTAATCAACATTAAATTTGATCTACTAAAACGTTGTATTCAATATTAGGGCAATGAGGAACGAATTCTAAAAATACAAAAACAGCGTTCATAAAAGACGTGAAACTCACATAGATCGAAACCCAACCCGTAGGTGGGACTCGGCGAACACTACAGAATCCCAAGGCTCCTTTCCATTCTGGAGAAAGAAGATCCACAGCATGTTGTCAGATGCCAGCGTTTTCCATGCCCAGCAGACGGCTCTCGCCTTAGCGGCGTCTCTGGGTCCAAGCATCCTCAGAATCTGCATGAATACATCAGTGGGCAGCTGGTCAAACACCCCCATTGAAAAAGGCCTAGCTGGAAAATCCAAAGACCCTCGACCAGGACTGGAAGTCGAGCCCGAGCGGCTCAGCATCGATTCTAAGACTTTCTTCAGCAGCATCGCCATGAAAACTGGAGCGAGTAACTTCCCACCTCATGACTCTAAACGAGCTGCCATTGAGGGACAAGATCGGGAATGCAGATTATGGACAGGTAGAAGATGATTAGGGTTTCAGAGAAGCGGAGAGGAAAGAGAACAATGTGATCGTGAGAGCGCAAGAGGAAGGAGACTCGAGGGATGGGATTTTTGGAGGAGATAGAACGCTTCCGTGGCGACGAAACAGTTGGGGAACTTTGCTGCCAATCAGGTGCTAAATGCTTCAAGCGGATACGGAACTCGAGCTCCGTTTTGGGGGAAAAAATGAAAAAGATTAGAGAAATTTACAAAAAAAACCCCATCAATTGTTCTTTATTTATATACATAACACCCAAAATGTATATATCAATTCTGGTGCACCGGAATTTCAAAATTCATTTCTATCTCGTTGAATCCAGCCCACATATTGAAGTAACTGAATTGAACTTATTGAAATGGTTGAATCAAGCCCACATGTTGAAATGGTAGAATTGAGTCCACTGGTCCAAGTAGCTGAGTCGAGCCCACTTGTCAAAATGGCTGATTGAGCCTACCCGTCAAAGTGGCTGGATCAAGCACATTTGTCGAAGTGGCCGAATCAATCTCGCTTGAAGAAGTAGTTGAATCAATCCTACCTGCTGAAGTGACAACTTACGCTCGTGCCCACCGTCCTTAAGAAGGCAAGTTAAACAATTTGAGGAGGTCATCATGACCACTGTGGGCACCCGTCCTCTCATTTAAAGATGTCACCGGACACTGTGGATTTGATTCCATCACTTATGTGGCAGGTATAGTCGTTGTATCGACAATAACATTTATTAGTAGATAATTTGTCATGACCAATACATCAATTTCTTATCTCGATATCAAAAAAATATCAATGATACAGTGTGAGATGTGTTATTAATATTAGTTTATGATTTTATTCTCTGGGATATTTAAAAAGAGGAGAAACAAGGAGAGATGGGTTTTTCCCCACATTTGGATCTTGAAAAATTATTGCATATGGAGAACGTAAGCAGCGCCGCGTGCGTCAGCCAATTGAAAGACGCCACCTAGGCAGTAGCGGTCCCACCAATAAAAAAATAGAATAAATAGCATATCTGACGAGTGTGCCCCACCAACCCGGGCCGCCGCAAATAACCTTTGAAGAATCACTTCGTCTCGCGATTATAACTCCCACTAAAAATTTCATACCAATTGAATAACTTCGCAGTACCGATAAAGTAATTGCCTCCCGAGAGAGCCAATAACATTTCGATAATCACTCAGTACCATACTCGTAACAGCTCTTCGCTCACGCCGCGGTACCGTTTCAATAACCGCCCTGTAACGCTCATGTGACCTCCGCAAAGCGCAACTAAACCACACATAATAACCTCGCGGTCCAGATCGACTATCCTTCGCTTGAGATATATGTTAGCCTCCTTATAATTTCGTAATAACCAATCAATAACTGTTCCCCACTCCAAGCCCTTAAACCTCGCAGTCCCGCTCGAATAACCTCACGCAAAAGCTTGAATAACTAACCAGTAACCACTCAGCAGCTTAAATTTTGAGCACACTCGCTCTACTGATGCTACTATAAGCTGCTAGAATTAACTGTTTTATTTGTCTCTATTGCTGACGCAATTTTCTCCTGAATTTGGTAGAATAGTCGAAGATGGAGGACATAAATAGCCCTTATAGTTATGCAGGGGAAGAGAGTTATCCCACAAACAGAGAAAAACAGGAGATGAAATTTAAGGTTTGTTTCCGTTTTTTTTTTCGAAGACATTTCTTCAGCTGTGTCAGGGGTGTTTTTTGCTTTTAGGGTGTTGTTGTTATTAGGGTTTAGTGGTTTTTTTGGCTGTGTATGTTCGTGGAGGTGTCAAGTTTCAGGTATGTTTTTTTGAGCTTTTATTATTAGGGTTAAATGGAGGAGATTTATCTTGAGTGATTATGTTTGAAGCTTTCTACACCCATATATTGAAAGAAACACATGAAGTACCTTACTATGTTGTGAAACTAATTTTAAGATTAAGGTTTGAAGTATTGTTGGTTAGTTGTATGTAAGATGATATTTAAGCTTTCAGGTTAGTGTACTAAGCCATCTAAGAGCATATATATTTGAGTTGTTTTGAAGATTAACATTCTCTACTGTGCAGGCTGGCAGAGCTGACGAGGGTGAAGATAACTGTATCGAGTAAACTGCAGACATAATACTTCACATTGTGGTCCACAATGAGAATAAAGCTTATGAAGTATATTGTGCTTACGCTCATCATATCAGATGTAGTGTTCGTAAGGAGCACGCTACTTTTTGGCCTAACTCCAAGAATCTTAAGATGAAGGACTTCGTATGTGGAAAAGATGGTTTCAAGAAAGATTTGAAGATCACAGAAACTGTGAAATACAAAAGAGCGGACATAAGAAGTGGTTGTTCGACAATGATTCGATATGCAATTGATGTTGAAGGTAATTGAACAGTGAAAAAATTTATAGAATATCATAACCACTCATTAGCAAACCTTGGTGATAAACACCTATTGCATTCCAACATAAAGATAAGCGACGTCAATGTAGGTGTGCTCAGATCGTTGACACAGTCAAGAATAAGAATTACAGAAGCATTTCATTATCTACCTACAGAAGTAGAGGGTGTGGAGAATTTGGAAAGTACGAAGCGAGATGCCTTCAATTTCATTCAGAGAGAGAAGATATCTAGAATTGAAAATGGTGACGCCAATGCTTTATTGCAATTGTTCACAGAGAGAAGGCCGAGGATAACATGTTTGCACAGAACATCAAAACTGATGAGAGTGGTAGGTTTATGAGTTTTGTTTTGGAGTGATGGCACATACAGGTTTGATTATGACTGTTTTGGTGATGTTGTTATTTTTTATACTAGCTATAGACTAAATAACTATAATTTATGTTTGTTTCTTTTATCAGTGTTAATCACAATAGGTAGAATGTTCTCTTTAGAGTCAATCTTTTGTCAGAAGAGATGGTAGAGTCGTTTAAATGACTATTTAAAACTTTTATCTGTATCATGAATGATAATCATCCAATAACAATCTATATTGATCAGGATCAGGCAATGATTAGAGCCATAGAAAATATTTTGTCAAATACACGCCATAGATTATGTCAGTGACACATATACAAGAAATTACCCACAAATGTTCACTGTGGGGTGGTGAATAAAATGATGTCGGATCTTTTTAATAAATGTATGAGCAAATGCGAGTCTGAAGAGGAGTTCGATAATACCTGGGAGGTGATGATTGTGAAGGGTAATCTACACGACAATGTCTGGCTTGATGAGATGTATAATATTATACATAGTTGATCTACAATTTTTAATAAGGATGTACTTGGAATGAGAATTTCATCGACTCAAAGAAGTGAGTCAACCAATAATATTTGTTATGATGTCTCAAAGCCCACAAGTTCTATTACAAATTGTTTTTTGGGCCTTGAAAATGTCATGAGATCATGGAGGCACGACGAAAAGGATGGGGACTTCAAGTGCGATCAATTTGTGATTACTATCGTTGCTAGAAGCAGCCCAATACTTAGGCAGACTGCTGCATTTTACTGAAGGAAGCTCTACTAAATGATTGAGGAAGAGTTTATACATGGATGATGTGATCTTCAATTGCATGCATCTGCGAACAATGAATCTGAATTTTTCATTACAAATTTGGGTGATCACTTGACAAATACACCTTGAGTTGTTAACTTCGACAAGTTAAGTATGGATATTGAATACAGCTGCAGAAAGTTTAAAATGATAGGGCTACTACGTGCACACACTCTACGTGTCATGAACTTTATGCATATGAAGGAGATACCAGACAAATATCTCTTATTGAGATGGTCTATAAATGCAAAAAGAGATGTATGTAACAATCATGGATATAAGCATATCAAACATACATAAATGTAGAATTCCAGTAAAGGTGACCTAATATTTCAAACACATGCAAAAATTTGCTTATCTAATTACTAATAAAGCAAAAGAAAATATAGAAGCAGAGCAGTGCATGAAGGACGCCATAAAGAAATTATCATTGAATATTGATAACATTATAAGAAGGAGAAGATCTTAGGCAAAGAAACAACCAACAACAAATAAGAAACTAGTAAATAATAAATCGAACGTGAATAATCCCACCAAAATGTGCCCTAAGGGAATATATAATTCCATGTTAAAAAGGTATTGAGAGACGAGAAAAAGAGCAAAAGACATATTTCTATCATTTTAATCTATTTTCATATGTTCCAGCAAACAACAATTTTTGTTCTTCCATAACCATTGAATACACAGGGAAAGCAGAAAGAAGTTTCATCCAGCAAAGAACCAAAACTATTACCATGTGATCCAAACATGTGCTCAATTCCTGATTTTCTAACACAGGTTCATATATAGTGTGAAATCATAACCACAATGCAATGATTTTTTTATGGTGTATGGTTTTTTATTATTACTTTTTTGCTTCTGTTAATTTGTGAAGAAAAGCCTGTATTTTGTAACTATCGATACAATGCAAAATTTCTTTATGTCGTGTTCAAGGGAATCATACACTGATATGATGATGAATTCATTGTGTGAGATGTAAATACAATCGAGGAATTGCTTCACGATTTAGGGATATGTATTTATAGCAATCCAATGTACAAATAACACACAAATTGATTTTTTGTTGCCTATGATGCTACTAGTATGAATAAGCTAAGAAAATGGAATGAACAATATGGAGAGAGAGGCAACAGAAAAAGATCACCTTTGGGCTTTATGAATTGATATAGACAATAGCAAGCCGTTCATTTGTAAAGCTAGTAAGGATTATGCTACAGAAATAGGTCCATTTTCATTTTATTCTCATTATTTATTTATTTTTTTAAGAAAAAATTATGAATCATGTATGCATGGTTTTAAAAAAATGCCCCACATAGCACACAATTCTTGTGTATTTACATATTTCACATGCAAGCTCAATTTTATTTTCAATCAATGTGTTGCCCATGCAAGCTCAATTTGTTTACTATTCGTACATTGGATTGCTATAAATTACTTCATGGTCCAGGGAATCATACACCAATAAGATGATTGAACATTTCTTGTTCCAAGAATGTATGCGAAATTTTTTTTATGAAAGATTTATTTTAAACACTGAGAACCAATCAGAACAAATACCATGCTTCACGGTCCAGGGATATGTGAAATCTTATTTATGTATTGCTTCACAGTTAAGCTGCATTTTAAACACTGTCTTATTCATTTCAAATACTAATCTATA